AGCTTCTCCCGCCCCTCCGGCCTGGGGCGATGCCGAAGCCTTTTGCCATCTCAGGTTTAGAAACCCCCGGCGTCAAAATGTGCTAAATCAGTGAGTTGACCCCAAAACGCAGCTGTTCTGGGGAGGAAAATGGCCTCATCCTGCACCCCCTTTTCTGCCCTGTAAAGCTCCTGGGTGGGGGGGACACCCACACCCGCCGAAGGGACAGCGCTGGGGACACAGCCTGATGCCCCGCACCAGCCATCAGCCACCCACCCTGTCCCCACGGGGGATGCAGGATGAGGCCCTACCCCAGGGGCAACATGGGGTTGGTGCAGATTTGGGGGTACCCAGGCAGAGGGGGATTGCGGGGCCACCGATTCCTGGAATTATCGGTGACACATCGCTCCCAGCCAGGTGCCACTGGGGTCGCGGTGCCGGAAAGCAGCTGTGGCTCCGGCTGCTGGGTGGCCCAGCGGAACAAACCGCCGGCCAGCCTGGATCCGTCCCCACGTCACCGAGGCGAAGCGCCGGGTGGACCGCGGTGTACCCGGACCTGCCGCCTAATTGCTGGGGACCAGCGGCTCCCCGTCATTTTGGGGATGCGTGGGGACGGTTTAACCCCTTGGGGGCTGGGAAACTGTGTCAGATTGTTCTCCCCGGGCCGGAGGAATGGCATGGCACAGCCCCCAGCGTCAGGATGTCCCTCTCAGTGATGCCCAAATCCAGAAGTCCTTCTGCCCTCCGCGGCGTCTCTTTGGTGGTGACAGTGACAAGCCCATGGCCCAACCGTCGACGCAGCCGGGCTCGGATACTGTTTTGGGGTGACATGGGGGGACAGATGGAGGGATGCTCAGTGAAGCCCCGCTGTCACCCTGCCTCCCTGCACCCCTCTCGGTCTGTCCCTGGTCCACGGTCACCCCAGCACACCGTGTCCCATCCCTGCCCGTGTTTTAGACCTCTCTCCACTGAGCGAGCGGGGCCAGAGCCAGAGCAGGATGAGTCCCAGGTGGGTGCCTGGCCACGGCGGTCCCTGGGGGATGCTCCTGCGGGCGCTGGACCCGGGTGGCATCCTGCCAAGGGGCTTAGGCACTCGCCTGGCATGGCCGCCGCAGGAGGGCATTACAGAGCCGGTGCCATGCCGAGAGCCACCGCTGGGTCCCCATCACC